CCCCCTCTTTTGGAAGAGAATGAGATCATGGCAGATCTTAAACAGAAGCGCTGTCAGGGGCCAAGATTGAGTTTCACTCATCACAAAAGGGACAAAAGAGGGTGACGGCAACACCAGCTCTGCTGCGTGCATGTGTGATCTGAATAACCCTAACAGCACTCTTTAATGGGGTCAACACACACGCACACACATACACACGCACTCATCTAGCGTCTGGGTCAGTGAACTTACACACCCACCATTTACTTTTGATTTGAAGAACCTTAATAAGCATATGAAAGTCACAGTCTTATGGACACATGGAGTGCTGATTTACTTTCAGCTGATGATATATTTTAAAGAAAAATGTAACTATAGCACAGATTTTATATTCACTTGTTGTTTTTTAAGGTACTTTGCATGATGACATAACTCAGATGCAAAAAAAGTCTAAGTGCCATCTGACATTTTCATCTCAATTTATCATTTGTTTTTCAGACTTGTGTGTAGTTTCAGTAGTTTTACTCTTATGGTAAAAAAAGGTTAGTTTCGTGCCTTTGAAATAACTGAACATAAATATGCGAGGCTCAGAAAAATGGAACTTTTAGAGGAAAATTTCAGACAGCACAGAGGTTTTTGCATCTTAATTCTTTTTATTTCTAATCAAGCATAACAATTAGGGATGTCCAGATACGATCATGTGATCGGGGCAGATCACACGGTTTCAGACTCAAATGGAATCGGATGTTACCTCCTGACCAGGACTCATATATTCTTATTATTTTTGAACACATCTATAGTTAAGCGGTTGCACAGAGTTAGACCTCTTTCTTGACTTCACACAGAAACAGCAACGTGTGCAGCATGACATCACATTGTTGCAAAGAAACTATTGGTTAAACGCCGGCAAAGTAGAACATGAAAGCAGCTTGAAGGGGAAGGCGGTCTGTCTGCGATATGAAGGTATAAAAAGTTGATGACAACAACATTGCCATAGCAAACTGTTAGATATGTAAACTTGCGATTGCCTGCCAGGTATTTTCACTTGAGGTGCTCTTTGTTTTTATATACTGTTGCACTTAAGTCTAAAAGTGAAGAATTGATGTTATTTATTACTTGATTGTTCAAGGTACCTCACAGAAGTGCTCTGTTTGTTAACATAGTTGTTAAATGTTAAAATAAGGTGAACTAATTAAAAAATAAGGAACATCCTGAATCTGTTTCTTCACTCTTTATTCTTTTTTTTATGTATTATTGATATTGATTATGTATCGGATCAGGTTTCAGTATCGGCAGATACTCAAAATCAAATGACTCCGACTCAAGGGAAAAAAAATCCTGATCAGGACATCCCTAATAACAATTCTATAAATGTATCTATAAAAGATACACTATAAAAAATAAATCCGTGAAGCTGTGGTTGCCAGTATTTCAACGTTAAAAATAGGGTTCAACCCGTTAAAGTAATATCTAATTTTTTAAAGTAAACTACCATAATTCATTAATTTATAGAGGTAATATGTCTGAATTACCAACATCTACACATTTTTTGTTATACAGGCACGTTAACACAGCCATACGCAGGTGTTGATGACAAAGTTACATAATGAACCAATAGTCATTACAAACAACTTTTCCTACAAGCAGAAAAATGTATCAGTGTATAGAAGGTGCTCAGTGTCATTCACATAGCTACTAAACACCAGTATGGTCACACGCATTAAATTAAAGTCATTAAATAAACATTGTTTATCAACATTAGATGTCACATAAATCTGTAATGTACATTAATAATGGGAAAACAACTAAAAAGATCCATAGTGTCAACAAAAATAAGTGCACCCCGGATCACCCATTGTACTCTGTGTTTCAGCTGCTGCCGTCAGGACGTCATTTTAGAGTTCTTATTTGCAGGAAAAACAGAATTAGAAATTATTTTATAATGGTGGCCATAAGGTCATTAAATGAGTCCAGCGGGGAGGGAGATGCATCTAAAAAAATGATGTATTGTATGTTTTGTGATAATATTTTGGTAATGTGTTCATGGAACTTCGCCTGTATTATGGCACCTTGCTGCAATTTTAGCTTCCCTAAACGAGATAATAAAGTTGGGTCTGAGTCTAAACTATTCTAAAAGTACCTAACTGTCATTATTATAATAATGTTATAGATCTTGTTGTTTTTGTAGATCGATTTATAGAATTGTTATGCTTGATTATAAAGAGTTCATTATGAGCATGGGCTTGATAGAAAGTGTATTATTGTGGCATACAAGATTGGGAGTTGAATGATTAAGTAAATAATGGCAGTATTTATTTTCTACTCTCTTTGAAAACACAACAGAAATAGCGATGCCTTCAAGTTTAGCTCATCCATAAGTCCATAAAATCTGTCTCCACTTTCACTCCATCAATTAGCGGTCTCTGTGCGGCTGAGGAATGCTGAAGTAAACATACGTTTGCAGACAACAAGAGAAGATCTTATCTGCTTCTCTTGTGGTCAGACTGAACGGAGTTCCCTCTCATTGAGAGAGATGTCTCTATTTTCTGTTTCTCTGTTGCTGCCAGGAGACAGGGAAATAAAACAACAATGCCATCCAGTTCACCTGTGCCACAGGGCACTTGGCATCAGGTTTTGCATGAATGCTGTTGATACCACCTAAAGGAATGCCAGAATAAATAAGACCAACTTACATTTCACTGTTGCCAATAATAGGTATAAATACAGTTTTTTATTTTTTTGTAATATATAAATATCTTCCTGTTAGGGAAACAAACAGCAATTGTTACCTTGTTGCATTAAAGAGCTATTTCTTTTGCCTTATTTAACCCATTAAATGAGCATTGTGGGCAAAAATAAATGTTTATAGCTCTGTAAAATTTCAGAGACCATTTCAAAGGTATTACTGGTTCTCTGGATTGTTTGTTTTCAGTAAAGTGTTTAATTGTGTTTACAAACTATCAGGCTGGAGAACACTTAGCACACCTTACAAAAACTCTTTCCACACCTATCACTGCATACCATAAAGATGTAGCAGGCACTGCACGTTAACAAAATCCCTACTTAAAACAATATTGCCTACAATAGTTTTCCACCAACAGTCAAACTATGTGCACACCTTTTTGACTGTGCACTTGTCTATCTGTGCCTACATGTGTTTTTCTTAACGCATTTATTGTCAATACGTATTAATGTCAACATTGCGAATAGTGTATTGTTTTGTTTTTTTGAGTATGTTGGTATATTTTGTACTATCTGGAGCCAGAACCTAAGCTTTTCACTCATCATAGTACGCATGTTGCTGATAGTGTGACAATAAAAGTGATTTGAATTGATTTTATAACTACTGACAACAGTTCTTTAAAAATCTCAAATACAAATGGTATAACTTCAAGCATTTAACTGCAGAAAATGCCGGTAGGTCAATATAAAATATTATTTTCAGATATAATATGTTTGCAAAATAGACAGTATTGTATTGACATATTGAAATTTTTTGCTCTGAAAGCGATGGTCAGTTATTTTGTTCTATAGCGGTGTGTAGGGGTGATTCTAACATTACAGCTACATTAATCTCCTAGATGAATTTATTCTCCTAGAAACTTGTATTATTTTTAAAAAACAACAGAATAGTTTTGATTAGAAATACAAATTATCAAGTTATAGCTAAAATAATGTAAAGAAAATAATAATGCTACTGAGAAAAGTAAAGAAATACATTTTGCGTCTGTTCCTATGTTCATTCTGGTCAACTCTGTTATAAAATAAAAAAGCCAAAACAATGGCAAAAAGCATATGGCTTGCCCCAAGTGATGTCACTTCCTCTGGTGGGAAACCCTGGAAGGTATTGAGGCATGTCATTATTGTTCTCTTATTCATTTGGAGATTAATTTGGATGTTTAGGAAACATCAATAGTAATTACTTGTCAATGCTGCTAATGTGATATTTCAGTGAATTTCTCATTCAGTGTTTAATTACAATAACATGATGAAATTACATAAAATTCTGTTTTAGACATGCCATGTGAGCACAAAATGGTGGAACATTTCAACTCTGTTATTGGTTTAAAAAGTTTATCAACAAGTTAAACAACAGTTAGTACACTGCAAAAAACAAATTAAAAATTGACTCAACTTTACATTGTAAGGCTTCTTTCTGAGTTGAGTAAAACTCAAAGGCTTTGCAGCAATTTGCCATATTTTAATCTGAGTCAATGTTTTTTTTTCTTGTTTTTTATTGTTTCCTATCACATTTAAGCATTTTGCTTTATTTTACATTAATAATGATTCAGTTTACTGTTTTACTGTAAATTACTCATTTGGTGTGCACTATTCTAGTTTAAGGACAATGCATTAAAATACTGTACCCACACTTCTGAAATGGAAGTCTGGTTCAGCAATGTATCTTTTCACAAATTTTTTTTTTTTTTCATTTAAATTGTCAGTGTATGTCCAGTCAGCAGAATGTATGATGTATACATGGTCAAGAAATGATTCACTTCTGTATACACATCAACTATATACAGTTGAAGTCAAAATTATTAGCCCCCCTGAATTATTAGCATGCCTGTTTATTTTTTTCCCTAATTTCTGTTTAACGGAGAGAAGATTTATTCAACACATTTCTAAACATAATAGTTTTAATAACTTAAAAATTGAAAGATTTAACTAGGTTAATTAGGTTAACTAGGCAGGTTAGGGCAAGTTATTGTACTGTATAACCATGGTTTGTTTTGTAGAAGGTCGAAAAAAATTAGCCTAAGGAGCAAATAATTTTGTCCTTAAAATGTTTTTTTAAACAATTTTAAAAGCTGATTTTATTCTAGCTTAAATAAAACAAATCAGACTTTCTCCAGAAGAAAAAATATTATTAGACACACTGTGAAAATTTTCTTGCTCTGTTAAGCATCATATGGAAAATATTTAAAAAAGAAAAAAATGTCAAAGGGGGGCTAATAATTCTGACTTTAACTCTATATCACATATAAGTATGAATGAAGCCTTTTATGCTGTTCTTACAGAGCTGAGGATGATGGCGGAAGGGAGGTTTTCCAGTTTGCCCAGAAATATGCACGTTGGACGTCAGTGTCCGCTTGCATCCTCCATGGATCTGCTGAGCTCACGGCCGGAGCTCTCCGAGATGCCAGTCAGTGGATACCAAGGCATCTCCATCCACGGCACACTGCCTCGCAAGAAGAAGACCACCACTGGTTCCCCTGTAAAGCAATGGGAGGTGAATGGAAATGTAGGATCTTTAGCAGCGCCATACCCAGGCCGACATCGCCTGCCACCGTCACCGCTGATACACAACATCATCGAAGAACACCAGACTTTCTGCTCAGACCGGAAACAATCAAGGTAAACAATATAGTACATCGCCTTTCCAACATTGTAAAAAAAAATGCAGGATTCCACACAATTCATTTATACTGTCCCAACACAAACCCATTAAGTGAACTATTAACAATTGAGTGAATTGAACATTTAAGACAATTAAGTTGTCTCAAGATAAAAGAGCTCAAGATAAAAAAATACACATTCTTTTGTAAGCAGCAGCGGTCACTCCTTTCATTGAACAGATTATTAAAAGGCCTAAATTAACCATGTGCACGTGATCATCCTTTCATTATCAAACACGGTATGTTTCACCTGCTTTCTTTCGCTTACAGTTATTTTTGTTAATATGGTTTAATTACATACTTTTTTACAATAATATTGCTTTAATAGGAGATTACTCCCGTGTATGTGTAGTTAACTGGTGATCTGGGACTTTTGGCAAGGAGAGATTACTATGCATATTTTAGATTTATGACAATAATTATTTTTTAAATTTAATGTTTTTTAAAGAAAAGTTTTGTTGAATTAAAAATTGAACCTATAAAGCTATATTTTCCTTGTTTTGACACATTAATAAAATCGGCTAAGAAAATACTTATTTGGTGTGGTCAGAGATTAATTTGATAAATTCTTCATTTTGAGCCCTGAAAAGTTGTGTGAAATAAAAACTGATTGCATTGTGACACAACCCATTTGCTCATGCACACTGAGCAAGCTAATACACAATGCACACAAGAAGTTAAATGAATGAGAAGGCATGTGGACATAACACATCATCTAAATCAAGTCATTTTAGCATGTCAAAGTCAAATTTATGCATATAAAACATATTTTCCCAACAAGAAAAGTGTGGCTAGTGAAAATGGCGAGTGGCTAGTAATGTTGGAAATCTACAAGCCACAGTGACTGGTGATAAAAAAAATTTATGTCAAGCCCTGTATATATGTGTGTGTGTATATGTATATATATATATATATATATATATATATATATATATATATATATATATATATATATATATATATATATAAACACACACATATGTATATACACACTTTTTGTACTGTGGAAGTCACTGGTTACCAGATTCTGTATTCTTGACTAATTTGAATAAGCAGCAAAACTTTTTTTGTGTGTAATAATAATAATAATAATAATAATCACAATCACAATTCTCTCTCGCCAATAACTTAAAACACACATTGGACTAAATGATTGATTTATCTTTATTCATCCCACATTAGGGGAGATTTCAGTGTTCCAGCAGCATGAAACTTTTAAACACTGTGCATTAGATAATACTGAACACATATGGTCAGCCATAACACTAAAATCTATTCATTTCTTTTCTTTTCGGCTTAGTCCCTTTATTAATCAGGGAATGATTCACATCAGTCAATCAGGGAATGAATCACAGCGGAATGAACCGCCAACTTATCCAGCATATGTTTTTGCACTAAGGACTATTTAGCTTACCCAATTCACCTATACTGCATGTCTTTGGACTTGTGGGGGAAACCGGAGCACCCGGAGGATAAACACGCCAACACGGGAAGAACATGCAAACTCCACACAGAAACACCAACTGACCCAGCTGGGGCTCGAACCAGCGACCTTCTTGCTGTGAGGTTATTGTGCTACCCACCATAACACTAACATGTAGAGTTTAAAAGGATAGTTTACCCAAAGCAGACAATTTTGTCATCATTTACTCGCCACAAACCTGCTTGAGTTTCTTTCTTCATCTGAACACTAAAAAAGTTATTTTGAATAGTGTTGGAAACCTGTAACCATTGATTTTTATAATATTTGTTTTTCCCACTATGGAAGTAAATGTTATGGGTTTACAGCTTTTTTTTTAGTGTTCAACAGAAAAGGGAAACTCATGAAGGTTTGGAACCGCTTGAGAGTGAGTATATCGTGAGTAAATTAAAAATTTTTAGTTGAACTATTATTTTAAGCACATTACCAGTTATTGGTTACAGGTTTTCAGCATTCTTTGAAATATCTCTTTTTGTGTTCAACAAAAGACTGAAACTCATAAAGGTTTGAAACAAGTAAAGGGGGAGTAAACTGTTACAGAATTTTCATCCCTTTGTTACATTAAAGTAGGCTTTCAAATACAAAGTCAAGATTAAGGTCAAGGTTAACACAACAGCCGATTAGCCTAGTTTTTGCACAGACTCTTTAAAAAGATCTAAAACTGAACTAGTGACGACATACTGAGAATGAAAATGACATTTTGGCAGGGGTGTAAAGTAACAAATTACAAATATTAAAACTACTGTAATTGAGTAGTTTTTCTCAGGAATTGTAATTTACTAAGTAGGTTTATAAATGTGTACTTTTACTTTCCCTTGAGTACATTTTAAAAAAGAAGAAAAAGTTGAACGACAGAGCAGTCTATACCAAATTGTCTTTCTTTGCCCTCCAATCATGTAACCTTTACTGTCTAACTTCAAAAAATAGGACAAGAAAGATAATAATCAGAAAATACAAGCTGCCACTGGCTCAATCTCATGTCCAGGACTGTCTGTCTCTTTTGCTTGTGTCTTGAGTGTCTTTCTCACTGTCTACAGCGTCTCTGTGCCATAGCTCTAGGCCTGTTGACTGTATCGTGCTCATGGCTTTCTGATCTTATCACAGTTAGAAACAAAGCAGTTTGTGTTTGTCCCTTATTTACGCAGACTGGTAATATATCTCACCCTCAATAAAAGACCTGGAAGATACAGTGAAGTAATCTATGTCTGTGGACATTGTTACGGATTATAGAGGACACTTTCCATAAACAGGACACAAAACAGAACCAAAAATACTGTAAACTGATTTGCTTAAATAGATTTTGTTTTACTTATTAAAAGGATTCTTTTCTTATTAATAATGTTAGAAATTACCAAACTCATAAGTCCAGCAGTTTTTTTTATTTTTATATTTTACATAAATTAGATAAATATCTGGTATGTAAATAATACAAAAAAAATGGTTTGTAATATAATATTAATATGTAAATGTTTTAAAAGCAAGTTTTGCTTTTTTTCTAATAAACATAAATAAGAATAATTAAAAATAATGAATGATTAAAACACTTTTTACTGCTGATAAATTAAATATTAATGTAATCATAATGAGCTTTTACAATAATGTACCATTCTTTGCATTTACATTTACTAACAATGATAAATACATTAGTTATTTAATATTTCATGATATTGTTACAAATAAAAAATAATGTTAATGAATGGCAGCCGAGTCTAATGAAACTTTATTAAAAAGAGTTATTAAAACATAACATTTTGAAAGTAATTTTTATTTTCAAGATGGAAAAAAGTAAAACATTTTTTTTACAGGCGTTGAATGCAAAATCTTTTTTTAGATTTTTACAATATTTTTTAAATAATAATTTATCTATCCTATCCTATTTAAGGAGATTCAAAATAAAATAAAATAAAATACAAAATAAAAATACAGTAAAATATAAAAAAATGGAAATAATGAAAAAAATTTAATTTAATTATAAAAATAAAATGGAAAAAATAAAATAAAATGATAAAATAAAATAAAATAAACAAATGTATAAAATAAAAATTAATAAATAAATGAAAAAAATCAAAAATAAAATAAAATGAAAGAATAAAATAAAATAAAATAAAATGGAAAAATAAATAAAATAGAATAAAATAAAATGAACTGAAAAAATTATATAAAACAAAATAAAATAAAACAAAATGGAAAAATAAAAAAGGAAAAATAAAATAAAATGAAATAAAATAAAATGAAATAAGATTGAAAAATAAAAGGAAAACATTGTATTTAATGAAAAAATTGAATTAAATGAACAAATAAAATAAAATATTAAAATAAAATTAAAAAATAAAATAAAATAGTCGATTAGTGTGGAAAGAGAAAAACCATAACACAGACCAAAAGACACAACACTGATAACCCATATATTACACCAGAAGCACAAGAGGAAAAGCAAAGGATAGACTAAATAGTCGCTTTTATAAAAACAGTGTGTGTTTGTGTGTCAGTGAAGGTGTAGGTGTGTGTTTGGGTTTCTGTAAGACCAGTATATGCCGCATCAGTTGCTTGACATTTGAAGGTTACCTAATATTGGACTACTATTTCACAGCCACAAAGCTTACTGAGAGATCTGAGGTGAAAAATGCCCACAGCCCACAAAAGAAGCCACCGGCAGGGCTAGCAACCTCTCGTAGCGACCCAGTCTCCATAACTACACCTCCCTGCGAATCTGCATGACACATGGAAAGAGAACTACTGTAGGTAGAACATAAACATTACAGACAGAGAGAGAGAGAGAAATCTACAACACTGACATTTCCCAAGTAATATGGACATTAAATCAAGCCGAAAAGCAATAACTAGCTCGCTTCCTGGACGACTTTTTCCAGTATTAGATTTATCCGCTTTGGAGAGTCGGATGGCACTGTGATTAAAGTCAACCTTCTGGAAAATGCTTCCCCGCTTTGAGTGTTTCCGTCTGCAGGTGAGTCGTCATATGCGATAAAATGCAGGTTGATATTTGTCGCAAGAACTGAAACGTTTATCTTTTATAAAAACAAGAGCACATCAATGAGTTAAGCACTTACTACCTGCATGTGTGAGGCAGCTGTTCTAACACACACACACACATGGAACCTTACAGGTTAAAGTGAGGATTGTAGATTTATAGCTTGATTGAGAGATGAAAGAGGTTTTGGAAGACAGATTTGAAGAGAGATTGAGAGAAACGCACAAAGAAAGAGACACAAAGGGAGAGAATGAGACATGAAAGAGATGATTGAGGAGCAACAACAGTGTCATTTGATTTACTTGTTCAAGCTGATTAAAGCTGTTGTAGTTGTTGACAGAAATCTCTGCTCACTCATCACTACATTGCTTTGATAGAGGTGTTTCTTTGCTCTCACCTGGCATAAAAGGAACCTTCAATTTTTCTTTTCCATTTCAGCCAATTTCCAGATCCAGGCTTCCAGGTCAACTTATCTTAGCTTGGCTTAGCA